AAACCCCTTTTTTTTTTTTTTTTTTTTTTTTTTTTTTTGAAATAATGGAAAAGTGATCTTTTTTTTAGGCGTTGGTCTGAAAATTTGAAAGAATGTGTTGCCATCGGCAACGAGTCTATGCACCAGAGTTTCAACTCGATATGATGCCGGGAAGTGGGCCTATTAGCCTTCCGAAGATTTTACCACACAAAAATACACGGGAAAAAAAAGCGAAGTTAATGTAAAGGATTTAGAAAATACACTCGAGTCAATACGAAAGTTTCAAACAATGAATAAAACCGTGTCTAGCTTTCCAAAGGAAACTATTTGAGCACCGTGAGCTGTACAGCGAAACGAACTGCAGCAAGTCAGCAAGTGTTAGAAACAATGAAAGAATCATTATCACATTTAAGGCTGGCAACTGACCACTGGCAATAGCACTATAGAAGATGGCAGATAGAATAAGATACTTAGCTGCCAAAAGGTAACCTTGAATGCGGAACTTTGATACGGTACCTGGAACATTGTTCGGTTCATTAAAAAAGACAGAGACTTTGAGACTTTGAGTATTGTTTAAAAATCACTAAGCGTACTTAGTACTATTGAATTCCAGCTTCATGAATTCAATAACAAGTAAAATTATAAAATAGCGTGTTATGTTAAGAATTTATTTATTCTAATTTTTATATTAAAAAGAATGACACATTTTTTTTTTATGTAATGAGGATTTTATTCTCCAAATGCTGTCTGTACCATAGCCTGACATAGGCGTAGCTAGGGTTAGTGCCGCCCAGGGCGGGCCAAACTCTTTGCCGCCACCTTTCACGAAAAAACCCTTCTCTGCAGCTTGCAGAGAATGCCAGCCCTCAAAACTTCATTAAGTAAAAGAGTGTAACAAAGTGTACGTGGATTTTGTCACCTTCTCAACTTACTGAAAAATGGGTTGTTTTTTTTTTTTTTTTTTTTAATAGCCTTAAAAGGAAAGATAACAAGTTTAAAATTGTAACTTAATAAATACAATTACTGGTTAATGGCCTTGAATTTACCATGCTTACATACAGATTTTGTCACCTGCTCAACTTACTGAAAAATGGGTTGTTTTTTTTTTTTTTTTTTAATAGCCTTAAAAGGAAAGATAACAAGTTTAAAATTGTAACTTAATAAATACAATTACTGGTTAATGGCCTTGAATTTACCATGCTTACATACTACGTTATCATCGCCCATGGTTAACTATGTATATGACAAAGCTAAATAGCAATGTTTGCATGGTGGACACATGTGTAGGGTGTAACAATCAAAGTGTTAAATTGCTAACAATGACTTCAAGATATGTTTATAATAATTACGTGAATGTATTGAGTAAAATTACCCATATTTTGTTGGGTATCATTGAGTGATTAACTAGTTTGGTTTTTTTTTTCCTATACCGGTACCATTATTCCCGTTTAGCTTTTATCTTTAGATGGAAGCAGTGCTTTTTTGTGCCGGTACGCACCGGTACGGCATAACGGCACCTTTTTCAATGTGGGGAAAAAAATTGTTACTTTTCTTGTATTTTAACGTTTATTATTAATTTATTATATTATTAATTTGTTAAAATTGAATTATTTTAAAATTGCGCGCAATAAGAATTAAAATATAAAATGCGAAACTGCTTTCCTGGTAGTTAAAAGTTAGGCAATCCATCACTGAGTACCGGCACCTATTTTTTTACAAAAAAAGCACTGGATGGAAGAATGTGTGTATCGCAAATAATAATGTATCTAGAGCGGTACCGTTGTTGACCAATGTAGTAACACACCGATCATGTATTATGTCAGTAGACACAACCCAGTCATGTATTATGTCAACAGACACACCATAGTCATGTATTATGTCAGTATACATACCCCAGAAACACTTTAGTCATGTACTATGTCAATAGTAAAACCCCAGGCATAGACACACCAGTCATGTATTATGTCAATATACATACCCCAGTCATGTATTATGTCAATATACATACCCCAGTCATGTATTATGTCAATATACATACCCCAGACATGTAGGTCAATAAAAACACCTTAGTCATGTATTTTGTCAACAGAAACACCTTAGTCATGTATTTTGTCAACAGAAACACTTTAGTCATGTACTAAGTCAACAGTAAAACCCCAGGCATGAACTGCGTAGACACACCCCAGTCATGTATTATGTCAATAGTCTACCAAAGTAAAGTTAAAACTTTCATATGTACTTTTCCTAGAGAAGTTTCTCTAAATAGGAACAGTTAAAACAAGCCTGCAGCACTTTAGCCTAGTGTTTAGATATGAAATATTTCATCTCAAAATCATGTTACTGAGAGAAGTTACTCAAATAGGGGAAACAAATGTATATCTCAAACTTTATTTTATTTCATGTTTAAAACAACACCAATAACGAAAGAATGTTTCATTCAATGAGGAAATCTGTAAAAAAATAAATAAGTTTTCAGGACAAGGCTGTTATAATGTTATTTCTGTAAAATAAATTTCCTTATCTCCATAAGACACAAAGGGTTAAAGGTCAGTTCCATCTTTTCTCTATGTTTAAAAGGAAACAATAACTCAAAAGATATTTTTAAAAGATTTTTATTTACAAGGCCGTATTTTATTGGACAAATCTATAATAAAATAATGGATTAAGACTATCATGTTAATGCTATCAAACATTTCTGCTTTAAAGAATTGCATCACATGACTTCATAATAAAAACATTTTTTTTTATTTTTAAGTGTGCTCTAATGTTCCATCAAAATAAAAATTAAGTTTTAAAATTTTGCTTCAGAATATAAATATTATGGATCAGAAGAACCATTTGTTTGTTTTATTCCCTGAGAAGAGAAGGAAATAATTGTTTAAAAAATGTTTTTTACTGATTTGCATCTTTTTCACACCCGTTTCTTTGTGTGTATTATTTACTTACATGTGAGCACAAGTGAACATTCTGTACAAGGCCTTTGTAATATATATATTTTTATATATATTATACATATATACACATACCAAGTTTTTGTTGACTGAAACTGCTCTCTCAGACTTAACACCATACAATCCACGTAACAGTTAAGAAAGAACAAGAAAATCCACCTGAGAAGAAATACGACTGTCCCAACTACTGCAGAGCCTCTTCTGACTTTTGCTCCAATATCCTTTTCTTTAACAGAGGGGGGGATGGGAGACTGGATCTCTCAGACTTGCCGTCAGGAGTCCCTTTCAATGTTGGTTCTGAATCATCACGCTGACACACAAGCTCCTTAGTCCAATCATTGACCAGTTCAGTGGAAAATGTGTACTTACCTAACGGGTAAAAAAAAAATTTTAAAAAACATTTGAACAGGGTTGTGCTGAGGCAAATGACAGCTAAGGACGAAGTCTGAAAATGGCACCCACCAATATATAGAAAAAAGAAAACAGAAAATATTATTTTGGTGTCCCTTGTGTGCGTGAAGAACATGGAATTTTATTGATTTATTTCCTATGTCCTACCTATAGAGTATTCTGGCACCCCCATGATGTTAGCACCCGGGGCGAGTTCCCCTATGCCCCTACCTTCAAGTGCCCTTACATGTGACACAAAAACGTCGCACTCAAAAAGTTACTTTATATCGTTTAAATTTATCCAGAGTATAGGATGAACCACCTAGAGCTTGTTGTTCATAACAGAGAGCTAACTGACACTCGATGTCTGATCTGACCAACGTAGAGCTGACACCTGTTGCGTGTAAAGAATCTATAGGTGTCCCCCAGATTTTAAATGATATCCAATTAGTTTGTTTTGATTTTAAATTTTTCCTGTTCAATAAAATTATACATTTTTTTCTATTTATCAAAATTGTAAATCAAATTCTTTGCTTAAATCTTAACACAGTTTTTGTCAATATTGGTCAATGCATTGTTACTGTGGCAGGGTGGATGGGATTTAGTCAAACAATTCTAAGGGGTGGAGAGTAAAGAAAAGGTTGGGAAACTTAGCTCAGTGTAAATGAGGCAATATTTTTAGCCTAAGGAGGATGAACATTTAGAAAAGCTATAGAACAAATAAGTTATTTTCTCTACTGCTCAAATAACAGTAATTAAAAATTTCAAGGATAAGGTTTGGCTTATGGCAGCAAATTTGATCTTCGTCAATTCCCAATGAAAATCAAATATTACCTAATGTGTGATCAAAAAATTCTTGGAGGCTCTTGGGCTTGCTAAGCTGATTTTCGTATTCATAGGCCTGGAACAACATTTCAAACTTGTCCAGGTCTTTCACAAATTTGGCTTCTGGACTGGTCTGATCTTCATACTCCTGCACGTTTTATACAACTCTCTATTACAGTTTCAAACTACTCACTGTCGTACATCAAATATAAAATGTTTGAATGAACAACTTATGTCTCTTAGTGTTGACTGAATGTCTTACATTTATTAGGTCAAGGGAGGATGGGTAGTAAATGGCTGGGGAAGATCAAATGTGGTGGTTTGGGGTGGGGGGGGGGGGGAATCAACGGTTTTAAAAAGTTTTTTCTCTTAACTTGTTGAAATTATGACCTTCAGCTACTGACTTGCATTTTAATAAATGACCACTGGTCAACCACCAATAGTTTACAGGTACAGTCACCAATAGGTTGCAGAACAACCACTAATATGGTGCAGGTACAACCATTAATAGGCAACCGGTACAACCGCTAATATGTTACAGGTACAACCATTAATAGGCAACCGGTACAACCACTAATATGTTACAGGTACAACCATTAATAGGCAACAGGTACAACCACTAATATGTTACTGGTACAACCATTAATAGGCAACCGGTACAACCACTAATATGTTACAGGTACAACCATTAATAGGCAACCGGTACAACCACTAATATGTTACAGGTACAACCACCCCCTCCTCGTTTCATGCCCCTCCCCTTTCTTCACTTTATTCCCCCTCCACCCCCCCCCGTTTTCTGTCCATTAAGCTCCTGGCTGATTGTGTGCACCAGTGTTCAATGTATCTTAACCTACCAGCCATAACTGATACATTTCTTGTCCTGCCTCCTCTGACACTAAGCTGGACATGTGATGTGTGGCATCCTGTGGAGAAATAAATCAACATTTGTAACTACTGTATAAACTGTATAGGATCTTTCTTATAAAAACTTGTTTCTGTTAATTTTGTAACTTTGACAAAAAATAGTACAGCTTGATTTTGACCTACATGAATATGGCTGCCTAAATATGACCACTTGATTATACTCACCTTAATGATAGAATAAGGCTATAAGCAGTGAATTATGCCTTAGTTTTCATATATGCAGAGAATGATATCCGACTTATTGATAATATATGCAGTGAATTATTCCTGCCTTAATGAAAGTATGAGCATTTGGTCGCTTGCTATTTAATTTTACCAAGACTAGAAGTAAAAGAAGACAATTTTTGTTAAAATTGCAAATTATAAACAAACACTAATTAACAAACCTTTTTTGTTCCTGAACTTATAAACAATTGATGTGACAACTAAAAAAAAAATATCAAGTTTTCATGACAAAATGTTGATTTATTTCATTAACTCTGAGTAAGTTTGCAATTGGAGTTCAAAAGACAATTTTTCTGAATGATGAACTGTTGATTTCTCCACGTAAACCCTTGACATATGTTTTAGAGTTTAATGATCAAATCAAGCACTCATTTCAAATTGGATTTTCCGTTCCTCGTGTGGCTATACTATACTGTTAAACTTTCTGATCAAAGGTCGGATCAGTTTTTTATATTTTTTAAAACATTGGCCCAATTATTTTGAATCAATCCACATAGGATAAATGTTAAAAAAAATAATAATAACCTTTTCTCTCTTGCTTTTTTCATCTTTACTAACTCCACACCAGGGAGTAAGGTCACCAACCACACTTTCTGCCATGTCATGGACAAGGGCAATTTTAATGCATCTGTTCAATTTTCAAAATAATGTCAATCATATGCAGAATCAGAAATGTAAGTTTTAGGAAATGTGTTTTCTGTGTATGCACCAGTTACTAGTTTGATTATTTTTCACATAATCATTTGGTATAAAGTAATACAAAATCAATTAAGCATCTGTCTGAAAGTTCTTCTTTTTATTATTATTTTATTTTTAAATTAACGGAATTAAAATGAGCAACAATGAAAAAAAACTAACATTGAAAGAAGTGCCAACTTAGGTCATGCCAACCTAACAGCCAGCAGTCATGGATGATGATTATATGTTTTTTATTTTATTTAATGAGGTGAAGGTGGAAGGGACTTCTATGATGTTGTGATGTAAGAATATACATCACCAAATTATTATGATGTCGTGGTAAATTGTACATTAACTATTTAACATAACTATCAAGAAAAAAATCCTAGTTAAGTAATTACTTGGTACATTTTAAGTGTGGTCTGTACAGTGGGTAAGGTTGGTGTTAATTCTGGGACATCAATTTGACAAGTGGGACGTACATCAGGAATAAGATTTATATCTGTAAAATTCTAAATACTCAGTTGTATACAACATTCTCAACATTTTTGTTCACTGCATTTCTGTCAATGCCTGGCTGAAATGTGTCAACGAATCTTAAAGTTCCAATATGGCAAAGTACTCATGTCTCATTCATTGGTAATGACATACAAAATTTTCTAGTTATTCATGTACAATTTTCTTTTCAAGCAGGCAGCTGTGAAAATAAATGGACTAAATTGCAGTTAATTGTATTAATGACAAAGTTTTTCTTTATTGGTGGCTCTTACTTATCTCGATCAAGACCAGAATTTGAGGGCAGCGCAAACGCCATCATTGCCATTCTGTACATGTGCTCTGCCACGCTCTCTGGATTTTTCACGCTGTTGCGCACCCACCCAGTTCTCTCCACTTGCTGTTTATAAAAAAGAGAACATTTTTGTTATAAAAAATCTGTGTATCAAACTAATAATAGAGAATTAATATTTATCCTTTTTTTTTCAATAATTCAAAATTTAAAATTCACATTTTAAAAATAGGAAAATGAAAAGGGTGATTATTTTAATTGGTACGCAATGATTCAAACGAAATTTTAATGTATAAATATGTTATACCAATGCTTGCCAAATGGCCAGTAACTCTCAGGTGAGGGCTCTCTAGTACAAGAGAAGTGGAGAGGACCACTTTAGGAAAATTCATTTCCTGTAAATATTTTTTAACCACGCTATATTATATAAGCACAAACATTTTTGTAAATGTTGTCATCAAATGTAATTTTAGCATAAATTACTCATTAAAAATAGTATGTCTACAATCAGACTATAATTAATCATTTTGACCAAAAATTTAAAGACTATGTTAACATGTAATAGTTATCTCGAGGAATTAGCTCTAGTAGCTGGTGGGTTAAAAAATTTGGGTGAGTGGGGGAAATGGAGAGATATGTTTCTATTTAAGGCATGGGTTTCAAAGTCATTCTATTACCAACTGAGTGGTAGCCTGAAAAGTTAGGGAAATTTTGATTGAGACAATACTAATGTCTTAGTTTTTAAAAAACAGGTAAACAATGCATAATATAAACTTCATGTACAAATGTATTCTTTAAATAATTTATTATTATAAGTAACAACATCAATATTGTTCTGTTGCATTTTCCACCAATTGTTGACTTTTTCCATGGCGAGAGGCAGCTAAAAATTTTAAGTAGTAAAATTAATAAAATTATTAGGCCTGAATGATTTAGTTTAATTTTTTTTAATTTATAAAAATTGCTTTGAACACCATACATCAGCATTTTCTAAAATATAAATAATTCATGTGCTTGGCCGGCTTGGGAAGTAAAGGGATCTAGTAGTCTGGAAGAAGTTGGTCAGTGAGTTTAAAAAGACCATGTATGACTGGTAGTTGTATTATTTGCTAACAGACGATCTCATAAAAAGGCAATAAGCTGATGATTATAAAGCGAAAAATAATTGAGAGGGCAGGATATATAAATTTTGTACGCAACTCCATCTTATGATTCTTATTACTTAATCTTACAAAACATGAATGATTGATATATCAATATTATACTTATAACCTTAAATTTAATAGTATTACTACTAGGCCATTAGGGTAGTGTAGTGTTTACTGTCTGTAGTGTTTAGGGTGTTCCATTAATTATGTCAATCATTTTAAGGCAATTTTTCCCCCTCCCTCCCCCTTATCAATAAATGTTAAACACCAGGGACCTTTAAATTAATTACGTCAACAATTGTCCCCCACCCCACCAAGAAAATAAAATTAAGTTAATATAGAGAAAATAAAAATAAGTAAATAAATATGGATCTATAATAAAAAAAATTATCACATTTTAAAAAATTCTCTGAGACAAAAGTCAATTTTATTTTGCATAATTTATTAAAGGAACTGATAAGGTTTAAATATTATTGTTAGTGAATTTATTTCTCTAGTTTTTTTCATCTTCATTCACATTGATAAGAAGAATTTTCCTTTGTAATAGTGCACCACAAGCAACCGATGAATTTATCAGATAATCATTGTCATATCGATAATATCAGTGGTCAGGTAACTGGCTGACATCATCCTTGTGTCTAGCGATTCAGCGCTTGAAATATTAGCATTCTCTATTTGTGCAATAATTGCTATCACCTCAATCTGTCTTTGGAAGCCATTCAAATTAGCAACATCTTTTTTTTTTGAGGAGCAGACTTGTTAGGTCCTATAACACAAAATTTTGGTGCTGTTCTGAATATTTGAAATTAAAAGTTAACAATTTTTATCAAATTTATAGTGCATCATTATCATTGATTTATACTCATTGTTATTGAATTTGAAATTGACAGATTCAAATCTTTTGCAACAAAATATGGAGGCCTATTAATTATTTATATGTATATAATTATAACAAAGACAACTAATTATTTATATGTATATAATTATAACAAAGACAACTTATTATTATAATATTGTTGACGTCAAGTTTAATTACTGTCTAAATTTTTACAACCACCTTCCCTTTATTTACCCTATTTTGTTGACATAATGGACGGCCACTTAAGTTTTAGTCTTTATGTGTTGTGAATGTGGATAACTATGACACTCAGCACACTGGCCTGATTGTGAATCAATGTAACTGTGGTAAGTAATGTGACTGTGTCAGCATCACTAGTGTGTGTAACTCTATCGGTGACCACTAAACTGAAAGTATATCAGTGCAGGCAGCTGTTCTCCCTACGCTTCTCTATGCCTGTGAAACGTGGACGGTATACAACGCCATGCAAGAATGCTGAACCACTTTCATACAACAAGACTTAGAAAAATCCTCAACATTAAATGGCAGGACAGAGTCCCACACACTGAGGTGCTTACACAGATGAAGTCCCAGCTTCGCTGGGCGGGACATGTTGTGAGAATGTCAGACGGCTGTCTGCCCAAAAGAATTTTATATGGTGAGCTCGAACAAGGAAAGTGGTCTGTAGGCTGGCAGAAGAAACATTTTAGTTGTAAAGTGTAAAGACAACCTAAAAGCCTCACTGAAACTGAAAGTGTTTCGACATAAACCCAGACACGTGGGAGAAAAAAGCAAAGGATCGAACATCATGGCGTTCCATTTTACTCTTTACACAGGCGCTCCATGCAACATGAAGTTGGCAGAACAGTGACTGCAGATGATCATGCCAGGAAGGCCCGGTCTGACACTGACTCTGCTACCGGAGATGCCCCCGCCCCCATCATTCCCCTGCACTCTACTGAACAACAAAATTTCGTGCCAGAATCGGCTTCATTAGCCATCTGCGCACCCACAGTCGAACTAGCACAAATCTGATGATTAAAATGGTCATGTTCGACTTCAGACTGACGAACAACAATTGTGAATTCAGTGTGAGCGGTGTGCTACTCATAACAGCGCCGGAGTCAGTGCTAGCCGGTGGTGGGGTGGAGATTGCCCTTTTAATAAAACTAAAACAAACTGATTTAAGCCTTAACTTTTCATCTGATTAACTTACTTTGAGATGTCCTATAAGTTTCATATACTCAAAGAATTTGGAAAAATTTGATGCCATTTTATTGAACCTTATGTTAAATTTCTGAATTTGTTTTTTAAAATGTGGTCAGTTTGTTATTGGAAGTCTCCTGTTGTAGAGTTCTCTTTCTTTAAATTATTATTCCTAAACAGCCAATGCTGTAAATGAAAGTAGTACATACTAAAGGATAATTTTTCAAAATGGCGTTGTCCTTAGTAAGAAGGGTTTCTATTTTGCAGAAATCAATTTTGCTAAAAAATACTTTGAAGCGTGCACAGAATCGATTATTTTCTTCGGAAAATAAAGGAAATGGACCAAATGATCCTCAGGATGAAGCGCAGAATATTGCTGAAGAGATAAAATCTAATGATTTAAATAACTATTCATCACCTAGCCTTAATCATGCTCAGGAGAAGCGCACATCAACAGAGTTAGCACTTGATAAATTTGCAAAATTAGTGGAAAAAGTTAAAGTATCACAAGTAGAGACTGTTTCTAATTTTGATAGAAAATTAGAAGAAGATTCCCAAGAAACGTTTCCTTCGATGCTAAGAAAATCAAAGCTGGTTTCATTAGGTGATCATCAAGGAAGATTGATTGAGGGAAATGTTTTTGAAGTCATGGGAGATGATTTGTATATTGACTTTGGAGGAAAATTTCACTGCGTCTGTCCTCGACCCAAAATAAATCCATTGTAAGTTATTAGAATTTCTAGTAGTATATAAGCAAAAGCTCTTAAAACACTGGGTCTAGGTGGGTGGGGCAATTGAGTCCTATGAATAAAATTGGGGTTTAAAGCCATATTGTGTTATAATTATAAGTTATTGTAATAATGTGCATGCCATCTGTGGCAGAATGCACAATAAATTTGATACTTCCAGATTCCACTCTTTTGCTGGCAAAATGCCACTGTCATCAGATTGAGGTGCAATCAAATAAATATCTAATAAATGTTTATAATTACTGTATACAGTACCGGCATGTAAAAAAAAAAAAATCCACTTTTCGAAGAGGACAACCGCAGTAGATACATTAATATTGGTAAGCTCAATTTTTAACTCTACACATGGTTTTTATCTTCAGTAAATTATCTAATTGTAAAAAAGTAAAACAACTATGAATTAAAATAAGAATTATTGGGTCACAAAATCTGCAGTCGCAGAGGATTAACAAACTTGTATTTTTTTAAATCGTTTCTCAAAGCCTACTAAAATGAGTTGTGTTGGTTTCATTAAGAAAAAATGTGTTTGCTATACAAATACAACTGTTTAAAAATAATTATTATTGTTTCCTTTTACTAAAGCCACTAAAGGCTAATTTCATCCTAAATTAGGCTGAGACCTAAGTGAGGAAGGAAGCATTGTGCTTTGCCCATCGTGTAATATGCTTGTCACCATACCAGCTTTCTTAAAAATAATATATTTAGTCAGTTATACAATTCTGATTTTGAAATCTGTTTATATTTATTTTTAAGACTGTCTCACAGTCACAGCACATTAGGCAGTATGATTCATAGAATAATAAATTAGGAGTTGGTAATAATACTAAGGCACATATATTTTTAATACTTATTCAATAAGTTATTTTATTGCTGTTTGAAAATATTATTATCAACAGACAGTATCGGAGAGGAACCAAAGTACTTCTCAATTTACAGTGCCTTGAAATGAGTTCAGCATTTTTGGGGTCTGACATCCATGTTACTCTACTTGAGGCTGATGCCATATTATTGGGGCTTAGCCCATCAGAGAGGAAAGGAAGGTAAAAATTAAAATTTTAATTCAAAGACCTGGGTCTGCACCTCAGGGAAATTAGGCTTAATCTTTACCAATAATTTTATTATTTTCTTTCTTGAATAACATGTATCACCTTGTACTTAACTTGGCTTGAATGGTGTTCATTTGTCATGGATGCACTTCTTTGAATCTTTATTTTCTTAGAGCAGGGGTTCCCAACCTTTTTGACTAGCGGATCCCTTTTTAGAAAAAATATATATGTGAGGAGCACTGGAGGCCTACCATGTGTCTTACAAGTCAATAGTGTTAAGGAGTAATGTAATAAGGGAAGGGGATGGGATAGATGCAATAACACGAGTTAACATGACATAGTTTGATGAGACATGTCATTGAAGCCTATTACTTTGAACAGTTTTTTATAATGTGTGTTCAACACATGTTACTTGCAGGCAAATATCTGGTTCCGCATTTAATGGATTTAATCAATATCTGGTTGGTTTTTTTTTGGGTAGCTGTATAGGTAGAGAATCCCACTTCATAGAAATATGTAGTTGAGATGGGCAACAATACTTATTTTGCTTTCTCTGACAATATTTTAATTCATCTTGCAAAAGCATCCAAAACTCCTGTAGACTTTAGTTTTGAAACTCGATTTTCAGCTTGCTGTGGGATGTCAAATGTATCAGGGCCTCATATTCTGCTGAATTTAAGCTTGGTGGTTTTTTGTTCACGAAGCTCCCATAAAACATGACTGCAAAAGGTTATTGCTATTGTTGCCAAAACATCATTTTAATGTAAAAAATCGAAATGTTCTTAAATCTTTAATTACCGGTATTAAGAAGTTCCGCATGGATATGTGAAGAAGCCATTATAATTTATACAGAAAATGATGTTCAGATAACTCTGAATTGGACTTTGGACAAACAGTTACACTGGGATTTCTCTCAATGTTTTTAATGCCTTATAAAGTTGGGGTGTGGGGAAGTCTATACATAGGCAAAGGGGTGTTTCTACAAATTTTTGTATGTAACATGGAATGGTGTGTGGAAACAGAACTTTTTGTGTGTAAGTGTATGTTATATAAGAAAAAATAAGCATATAATTTTTTTTCAAATTGTTTTATTTTCAGATCCAGTAAAACTGCACAAAAACTGTGATGAAAATAGGAAATGAAAAAATGGTGCTTCATCTTAAAATATAACAGTCTTTGAAATCATGTTTGGAAACCTGACATTTTTAGAGGTTGATTTATTGGAGTTAAATTGTACAATTACCATTATGATATCAGACTTAAGCTTATGTTCCAAACAAGTTCCTGTCAAATAATTTTGTAGATCAATGAATTAAGACCATGGGGTTTTGTGCAAATAATCCTAAGCATCAGAAGTAGCAGTTATTACAAAAACTAATTAGGGAATCAGTTATGGTCCTAGATGCTTCTACTGTTCACTGTTAGCTTTCAGATTTTTGCATGAAGAATATTTATTGCCATTTTTTTTTAAATTTGAATATGTAATAAATTAACATTTTATAATTTATCTAGAAATCAATTTGCTGCTTTTTAAAAGTTGTCTTGATTATAAATTAAATATTAATCTTTATTTAAGAAAGATGCTCATCACTGTCGCAGACCCCATTTTTACATTGAAATATAATAATTAAAAAACTGCATTCAAGCTGCTAACTTATTTGAATGCAGAAATTATTAGCTGAGATCATCTACAACTTGAGTTTGCAACAGAGGAGTAGCTGGGGGTGGGAATGGGGTACAATTGTCTCTGTGCGCCAGACTATTTGGGGCCACCAAAATGGGATTTTATGGGTGAAAATAATAGGTTGAAGGGGGGCATATAGTTAAATCTTGTCCTTGTGCACCAAACGCTCTAGCTAAGCCTGTATGTGCACCAAACACTCTAGCTGCACCTCTGTGTGCAAATTTTCTATCAAAACTACTACTACCCCCACACATATTAAGACTTGATAATTTTGTTTGGGTTGGATGGCCATCTCATTAACTATTACTGTTTTGTTTTAATTTTTTTTATTAAACATATGTTTTGGTGTACACAGCCACCAGTGTGATGGTTTCGGAAACTGGTTATGAATAAACATTTCTTAATCTTTCTTGTTTTATTCACTACATTATCTTCATTAAAATTTCAAAAAAGGTATAAACAATTTCATATTTTTAACCTATGAGTACTTCCTGATTAAGAGTTTATATAAAGTTAATGAAGATGGTTAACTATTCTTGGGGCATTGACAAAAATTTTTTTTAAGATTCTCCTCTCAAATGTTATATAATAAATCTTGTATAATGTATCTTTATCACATGGCATTTACTTTTGGACCAATAACTGTTCCAGCTGTATGCAAAATTAAAGTCATACATTTGTATTTTATTCCATTTCAATAATATTGTTTTAAAGTTAAAGCAGTGTTCCCCAAAAGGTTGTCTGTTGACCTCCACTGGTCTGTGAGCTCCACATTGCCGGTCTGCACAACATAAATATTTAAATGTAGGTCAAATAAAAAGAAAATAGAATTAATAATATCAATCTGACACTAAATGACTCTGGTCCCTGATGCAATTTTGAAACTCGTCCACCCTTCTGCCAAACCCAAGAGTTTGTAAAACTTGTTTATAAGGTTGGTGACAGGCTCTGTGGAAATCTTGAAACATTTTAAGAAGGAAAGGTTCAGTTAATGACATCAAAGGAATTCCAACTGGATTTAGTTGATAATTTACATTTAAGTACATCATAGAAATCCAAACTAGATTTAGTAGTTATTCGTATTGAATTATTTTAACTAGGATTCTATAAGTTAATTAGTTTAAAATTGATTAAAATAGTTTTCTGAATAACATCCCATTTACTCCTTTCTTCAAGGGATAAGTCCTTTGCACAAATACTTAGATACATCATAATATGATTCATATATCATTAAAAATCAATATTGACAGTGTTACTACCTTTATCATAAGACAACAAACTCCATTATTATTTTTTATATTTCCTTTAGATTTTTATTTACACAAAAATGAAGGGAGTAACAATCACATGTGGCAAACACATTGCACTGGATCAAGGGTCAATTCTGTTATTAATAGATTTACAGAAAACATAATCAATGCAGTATTTTAATACATTCGTTGCTTGCTTCATTGTGCTGCTAAGGCAGGAGTTCATTGTGGAAGCATATGTGATATGTTCATTATAAACAGTAACAAACATTTAACTTTATTTTTATGTTTATTAATTTTTTTTTTATTTTTCAAACAACAGTTAAATAACGTTTTCTATTTTAAAATAACATGAATCATTAAATTCATTTTGAAATATTAAGTTTTCTGTTAAGCAACAGGGAGAAGGGAAATAATCAAAGATAATTCTTTCCATTTTTTTTTGTGTGAAGTACCTTCCCTTTGAAGTTAAATATATCTGCCAATTAATGTTATTTCAATTTAAATTTTAAAAAATGATATGTACAAAATATAATTGCATAGTAATAAGCTTAATATTTTGATTTTAAGGCCACATATATTGCACAACTTGTGACTGATCAATGCAGGAAAAGGATGTATCATGATTTTGTTAACAATTTAGGAACAATAGCAATTATCTGCCTAATATATTTCTTAATTAAAAGATAATAATAAAATATTTTATTTTGTATTAATTTTTTTTTTAAAGAATCGAATTAGCGCTTATAAAGTTTTAAAAAAATGTTGATTGAAGATGTATTAGATTATCCTAAATGATTGATCTTTGAATTACTAAAGTGAATATGATGCAATTTACTAGTGAACATCTGTGTTTTAATTCTATATCCTATATCTATTTCACTATTGAGATAAATTTCTGCTCATTCTCTACACACAAAAAATCATGGGAGCTGCTGAATGCTTAGGTCTTGAAGAGTAGTTGGCGATGGAACAGTGACTGACACTTGGTGACAGTCAATATGATTGACGAAATACATTTTGAATTTTGAAGGCCTCGTATACAATGCAGTTGTAACATGATGAAATAATATAAGTTATAAGGCTATAATTTGATAGTACCGGTATTACATACAGTACTATCTTAGAATATTTTTTAAAAATATTTGCAATTTACTTTTTTAAAGGGGCAGGATGTAAAAATAAACAAGCACAATGGTAAAAAAAAAATCAAGTCTGTATGTAAGTTTTAAAATTTAAAAAAAAATATATTGCACATTCAAAGTAAATAAATTGATTCGAGACTTATTAAGCCACTTTAAAATACCGATAACAATTTAAAAAGGCTGCCGAAAAATTTAAGTCATCTAAAAGTCTCTGCCATTAGTTGTCCACTTGTATTTCCCCAGTAGTAGTAGCATTCATGTGGAACTGATTGAGGTATAAATAAAATATAAAAACAAAATGGATAAATAAGGGTGGCAGAGTATAGGGTGGAGAAAAAAAATCATTTATAATATTGCACATTGGTTGCTCATGACAATAGCATATGGCCTTGACCTACTTCCAACACTCGACGGAAAACAATAATTATTAATATTATAATCCAGGAAAGTGATTTTCATTTTTTTTTTTTTAAAGGTAAATCTGACCCTACTTAATTTATATTTACAGGTTCAATATTATCGTTGATACTAGGAAGAAGCTCTAGTTAATCAGTAGCTTCTGTAATTATTTATTTGCCCTGGCTAGGTCAAGGCACGCATAACAGTTCATAACACTTTTGTTCGTCTTCATTAATTAACTCGAGCGATACGGAAGAAAGTAACTTTACATATAAAGAGTTAACGATTATTTCAAAATATGTTCGATTTAGTCAAAGTTGCATATATTTTATCTAAACATGGCAAGAAATAATTTTCTTGTGGAGACTTTCATTTCATTGGTTCACAAAGAGGCACATTTGCTTCGCGTTTTGTTTTTTCCTTTTAAATATTGTGAAACAGTAGCTCTTAATCGATAAATTAAATAAGTGATCGATAAGTTTTCTCCTTTTTTAAAACTTCATATAATGGTGTAAAAAATGAGGTGAGAAAATAATTGTACGGTGTATAAAAATTATTGAAAGAATAATAAATTAAGAGTTTTGTCTGATCAAGACCTGCTACGAATTCACACTTGAAATATGCTCCTATTCCTAGGTTTGCCCTTAATCGGTAACCTCTTCATGAAAGATAGAAACGGGGTCATCCATAAAGTACGTCACGGTCGGGAGTTGGGGCGGAGTATAAGAAAGTGTGACAGTTTGTGACACGGGGGAGGGAGGGTGTGTTAGATCATATGTGACTCACATATTTATTTATTTTTTTATTACGGTACATATAAAAGCTGAAATCGACAGTTTATGTTTAACTTTCTGTTGTGCAGGATTTATTCTGACAGAAGATGTGATTTAGTAGTGTCTAATTAAGTTAAATTTTTTAACATTTTTTTAAAAGTTTGATGCACTTTAGGGGGGGGGGGGGGGGGGGGGGGCAAGGGGTCCCGAGATTTGTGGCAGATTGCGAATGGGGTGAGAGGGGAGTAAAAAATTGTCCAAAATAGCGTGACATACTTTATGGATGGGCCCTACATGCAGTCTACACGGCTTAATGAAATAATCAAGTGGTGTGCAACAGATGCGTCTCTAAGCTGTAAATTTATTCATAATTTTGTTTAAAATAAACACATGACGGTGAAATCCTTGACGTGCTGTGATCCATGGACCATGAGGTGGCCAACTCAGAAAAAACATTAATAATATTCTTTTATACGGTACCTAAAAAAAAAAACTTAAAAGTCTCCATGGTAAAATAAAACAGCAAGGCCGTCAACAAAGATTTTGGTTTTAAGTTAAGAGTAACAACCGTGAAGCCACGCCCGCATCCCCACAGAATCACCGTGGGCGTTAACTTCCCACTTTTCAACATTAAAGAAATGCAGATTTAATTGCTCTTTGTTGATGTTGTTTTGTTTTTTATCCAGTAAGTTTTTGCATGTTTTTTTTTTAACTAAAGAACAACGTTATCTAACCATTCGGAGCGTCGGCGCATCTGTTGCGCGTGGAAGAAGTGCCATTAAAAAAAAGGTTGGGCAGACGAGCTGTTGACCGAGGTAGAAAATAAAAAAATAGAATACATTTTTAATATTCTCCATTGGCATAATTGCTTTGTTATTAAATCGTGATAGTTATTCTGAAAGTGCTAGACGGTACAAGCTGTGTATTCACATAATATTCATTCTCTTTATCGGGTTGATTGATCATGGAAGAGCCTCTATATCGTGCTTTGATGTAGTCGAAAAAAATAGTCTATATTGATTATGAAAGTTAGTTTGTTTTTTTGTTTTTTTTACTGCGCACTATGATGTTTGCATCAGCAAAGGAGTGTAGCTACAAAAAAAAAATGCTCAGACGCCGAAGAGTGATCTCTTGTTACGCCATGGTTGAATGTTATTTACAGTCTTTTTTGCTGGTCGGTGTCAATTAATTTCTCATTCATATAGTCAGTAGGCCAGCTCCCCACCCCACGGCCGGTAAGGCTTCACGGAACTGTTCCCCTGGTTCTGCCCGTGGTTCTGGTAGGCGGAGCTAGAATTCTGGGCGGACATCATAGACGACACAGAGTTCATGTTGAGGGCGGAGACTGGAAACTGAGAATGGAGGTTCGGGAGGGTCGAGAAAAGTGGAGGCGAGATCTGGGACTGGGCAACCGAGTTGTGGTTCATGGGCGTCACGGGGGCCGTGGCAGCTGTGGCGGAAGTACTGGACAGCCGCATGTGGCCAGACAGCAGCGTGTCCGACTGGGCGTGTCTAGAAGAGTCCGCGAAGGAGGAGCCGCCAGAGTATATCCCCGCGGAGCCACCGATGACGCCGCCCTGGTGGGATGACGTTGACATTGGTATGTGCTCCGACTGACCCAGGTGGTGGTGTTGGCTGGGGATGACCCCCGACATCGGCGTGGACATCGTGGAGCCCCCATACTGCGTGGGCGTGAAGCTGCCATGCCCGCCCATCCCGCCCATGGAGCTCATACCGCCCCACGTGTTTCCCTGGAGCGACGCCTTGGCCGCAGCTTCTCTCTGCGCCGAGTAGCACTGGAGGTGACCCAGCAGACGGAGGCGCAGCGGGTCCTGCAGGTCAAGGCCTTCAACGGCCACCAGGTACCGAGCGACTTCTGCCGCACATTCTCTGAACCCGACACTGCGGTAGTCAACAGCGACTGCGTGGGGGTCAAAGTTGTAGTTGTTGATTCCTGTTACAGATTGAAGAAAAAAAGAAAGAAATACTTATTAATTCTGACAATTCATCAGAAAACTCATGACAACCAACTTTTACTATCATGGTTTTAATGACACAGATAACTGCATTGGGAGGTAACTATGCATAGCAGGGCAGTACTCTGATGCTTCTTTGAATTTTTTGGAAAACAAAAAGCTATGTGTCATATCTTTTTGTTCAACCAGACATTTCACAGAAATGTTCACAGACATATTGTTTAAGTGTTTCATGGGATTGCGCATAGTTTTATATATTAACAAATTTATTCAACTTCAGTCAAAAATGCAATTGGAATAAAAAGAGAGGGGGGGGGGCATGTTCGCTGTTCGCTATTATAATATATGGTTCATAGATTTGTTGCGTCAGAGGGGGGGGGGGGTGGCGAAGGGCGCTTTATTTTATCTTAAGCCTCGCTGAGGTCTCGAATCACTGCGGAGGACACCTCTTGTATGCCCGTGTTTGCTCGGATCAAAACGAAATGTTTGTGGCCGGTCGCTTAACGCGCTTTGTCCTCGCGCTCCGAGCAGCGGTGGAGACACCTCTGTCAACAAATCATCGCCTCTGGTGTATGATCCTCCGTGTCTGCCAACAGACGTCGGTCTGTGACAAGGGCGTATCAACTTTATGATGGCAACGATAAACTCATAAGCGTTCCATTTGCTTTGAATGCTTCGGCTTGGATGTCAATAGATGTAATATAGATAAACGACTATTTATAGACAGAGGTGCGCAAGTCTTGGTGTGTAACACTAATTATTTTTAAAACATTTTTTTACGTCTTATCATCAATGTCCGTCTAGCTAACTGCTTGCCCCCCGAACTCCCCATTTGTGCTGCCTGTCTTTAGATTCAGTGCCGACACTGCAAAAACTCCACCCTCCCCCTCCCTTTCCCCCGTTTCCCTACTGCTGGTGTCATCTATGGTATCATCTTGTTGTGCCAAAAAATATTGAGCAGGTCACAAATATTATGTATCCCACACTAACAGAACCAAAGGATGTTCACCGCGGTGTCAAGGCGCGTTGAATATGAGGGTCACATCCTGTGGCAACATTTGCTCTCATTTTTTTGGTTAGTTTGGTCACACGTTATTTGTGACGGCCGCCAAACCTGGACCCAAATAGGCTGCGTGGACGGCAAGCTCGTTTCTTTCGAGATGTACGGGGCCCGATGGTAGGGCTTTCATTTAAAAATTCATTTTAAATAATCTGTCAGAATTATTGTAAAATGTAAATAAGACGTCTGCTCATGTAAAGAGTTTTAAAGAAATTAAGAGGTCATTTCTGATGACACGTCGGCAATTTTTCAATAGTTAAATTTTTTAACGCACAAAAATGCAAACAAAAGACATTTGAAATGTTTTTAATTTTTTTTTTTAAACTCATCCAATGTTGTGTCTGTAGACTGACATAGTTGTCCTTGAGTGCGCATGTTTTTGATGTTCATAAAAGGAGAAAGTAACCGACAAGTGTGTCTCTTTAGCATCTTGGTACACATTCGTCTGTTTCCCTTCTGCGCAATATTCTCTTGCTGCGAGGTATGACAAGTGCGTGCATTTGCTGCATTGCTGCATGCCGTAAGGTAGAGGGGTAGTGGGAGCGCGCCCATGTCATTGACACTAAACTGTCCAGAGACGTTGATGAGATTTAGAGATGCATGGCAGTGCAATAAAGTAGGCACTGAGCTATACTCCGTGACGTACTGATCAAACAACAAAAAGTGATCGTGATGCTTTTTTGTTTTTTTTTAAAAACGTTGCACTACTTTTTGTTAACATCAACAAGGTTTGCCTTTCTGTGTGTTCCAGCCAAGCCATTTGGGTAGTGGCCCTAGAAACTACAAAGTGGGTCTTCCCTTTGGGGGGGGGGGGGGGGGGGGGTTTTAAGGGGGGGGGTCTTTTGGGGGGGGCTCTCCGGAAAGGGGGGCCTAAGAAAAAAAATAAAAAAAACGTACAAAAAAAAAAACCAAAAAAGGGGGGCTTCCCGTTGGGGGGGGGGGGGAGAGGGGTATTAATGGGTGGGATACTTTTGGGGAGGACTCTCGGAAACGGGTGACTAAGAAAAATACATAAACAAACGTACTAAAAAAATAACCCAGTAAGTCAATTACCTTTTTGGTGTAAGATTTTCAAGTGGTCAACTGTCATCTGCAGTATCTCAGCCTTCTCAAGTTTAGCAGACCCCTGGGGAGTTCAGAATAATCGTGTTACTGAAGGGAGTTGGTTGTTTACCCGTAGAAACATGCTGTATTGTGAATATGCTTGAGATCCTATCGAAGGCTGATTCTGACTCGAATCACTTATAGACTACAAAGTGATGTTGTGGTCAATGATAATGTGGTCAATGATAAAGTGGTCAATGATAATGTGGTCAATGATAATGGGGTCAATGATAATGTGGTCAATGATAATGTGGTCAATGATAATGTGGTCAATGATAAATCAAAATAACATACATCGGCGTTTACCTGCTTTTCGAATGCCGAGGGAACCAAGCGCCGCAACTCGGACAAGCTGGTGTTGATGCGGTCTCGGCGTCTCTTCTCAATAATCTGAAATTACACGAAAACAAGAGAGCATGAGTTATAGGAGAAAATAAGTTACAGTTACAAAAGAAAGTAAGGTGTAAGATTAAGAGAACATAAGTTATAAGAGAAAATTATAGGCGGTAGTGACTAGCACTAACTCCCATCCGTCTTCACTTGATGCAATATTTTAATCCAACGAATCATTTGTATTAGTTAGCAGCAAACACCCTTCTCATTGTACTGTTCAGTTCAAATCTCTCTTCGGCACTTTCTCTCTCATTCTCTCTTTTAAACTTTTTCTCTCTAGCTCTCTCTCTCTTTCTCTCGCTCTCTCTTTCTCTCGCTCTCTCTCTCTCTCTCACACTTTCTCTCTATCATTATATCTCTCCCTCCCTCTCTCTCTCTCTATCTATCTATCTCTCTCTCTCACACACACACAGTTTCTCTATATCTCTAACTCTATCTCTCTCTTCTCTCTCTCTCATTTTTTGTCAACCTTCTCATTTCTTTATAACTCTCTCTACAAGAAAGTGCCCCCTTGACCTACTCACCCCTCTCCTCTTCTTTCTATCTGTGATTTGACAACTTTGAGATGGGGAGCTGAGAAAAGATATAAATTGATATACATTAGAATGATAATGAAAATCGACTTAAAATAGACATGTTCTTTTCTAAATACAACTTCTCGCCATGAGTCACCGAACATGTTTCAACTCTCTAAACAAGACACGAGATAATTTTCTACTATGGCCAATGATTATGCCACAAGTTGTTTTCGATTTCATTCGCCACTAAATGTTAAGATAGGGTCTAGCATAAAATAATAATACTCCTCATAGTATTAGTACCTGTACTTGAATATAGAATGTCTAAAACATCGAGCTGATGGCCTTAAAAAATTATTTACGGTATAAATTTATATATTTATAGGTCTAATTATAGCCTACAGCAATGTGTCGCCCATGCTTTACCAACTCCCTTCTTTGTCAAATAAACTGGCTTTTTTATTTTTTAAAGATTAATAACATCATTATATATATATATATATATATATATATATATATATATATATATATATATATATATCTTTCTCACAATTTTTTTGTCGTGTCTATATATATAATATATATATATATATATATATATATATATATATATATATATATATATATATATCTGTCTCCCAATTTTCTTGTCGGGTCGAAATATATCATTTGTAAGAAATAATGTTGGCCACTCAAATCTAAAGCTGTCTCCTATTATGAGAAGCACATATTGACACTGTAATGATAGTAATCATAGTAAATTGTATGTCGTTGTTACTATCGAGACTACTATCATTACATGTGAAATGGCAATGGCCGGAATGGAACAATGGAGAAGAGCAGCCATGTTTGATTGGCTCAAACTCAATGTCCCCAGTCAAGAACTACGTTTTTCCCTGACCTCCCCTAAGTCGTCAGGCTGATCGCAAAAGAACGTACAGAACTGCTCAGTTTATTTGCTCTTGTGAATTCAACCTTATCAAAATTAATCGATTCTAAACGAAAATGTCACATTTTTAACAAATATAATAGTATATGAATTGGTTTAAAGCACGGAATGTGAACTCGTAATTAGGTCGACGCCATTTTGAAACTGATGCATGGGAGTATGTATAATAATGGCCAAACTGGGCTCCAAATAGACAATTTACCACTGTTTATTTTAATTATGTATTTAAATGTAGATGTGTAAACATTATTTCAAAATTTTAAATTAACATTTACAAACAGGAAGCAGACGACACTTATAATCTTTAATGTCAAGGAATCTCACTCGCCGAATGTATTGCGTCTCAAAACAAAGAAAAAAATCTAATTAATTAACTATTTTCTTTTTAAACATCAAACATAAAACACCGACGGAAGTGTGCTTGTGATATTCTGAAATTTTAAACAGTTCAGAAACATCATATGTTAAACCGTCTGATAATGAACATATGCCAGGGCCATTGTCTTATATGAAACATCATCATCTTGATTAATTTTTTGTATTTTTTGGTAGTCCGGCCTTTGAAGTGAAGGGAGCTGTTGGGTTTTTTAAATTGATTTTTAAAAAATAAAAATAATTTTTAATATTTTTTAAAGTTAAGTTGTGAAAATAATCAAACGACCCAATCGAGACAGTTTCCTTGTGATGTGTTATCAAGATGTGAGTCTGCAGGCCAAGTAAAGTTGGTACACCAACACATCTGGATGTATTATAATGTCTAAATCGAATGTAATTGTTTCATACTAATAGAACCAATGGGTGCTCATGCGTGTTAGTAATCTGTTGAACATATAAAACATAAGACTAAGCCATAATGCGTTAACAGATCTGTCACAAAATGCTGGTATGGCTCACAAGGGGAAATGAATGCATTTGCTGCCGGGGCCTTTTCATCCGGGGCCGCGCTTAGGCCTCTGTACGTTTAGGGTTATTCAAACCAGTTATCTGTAGGTGAGGGATTTTTTTTTTGTCCTAATCAACTTCGTTTTTCCAGCATTTTCTTAATCGCTTTCAAACAACGGAATGAAAAGTAATTGTCCCTGGTATTCATATACATACGTCAAGCACGGAACCAAGAGATAAACTTTCATAAAGATGTAATTCTCTATCTCTTGCTTTCTTTCAGATAGTGAAGACGTTAGTTGGTCTGAGGTTATAGTGTCAACAATGTATTAGTCTGGCGGGCAGTGTTGTGGGGGGGGGGGGGGCCCCTATTTTCCAAGGCCGTGGGGGGGTTTTTTATTAAAAAAAAAAATTGGGCCAACTTTTTTTTTTTTTTTTTTTTTTTTTTTTTT